CAAATTAACCTTTGTACTTGAACACTGCATACAAAAGTGACAAAAAAACACCTTTAAACAGGGTTTAGCAATCTTGATTAATAGTGTTAAAGAGCACAACAGAAAAAAAATTTGTTCAGTAGCAAACATTGTCAGGAATCATTGAACTATAACTCCTCTTATTGCCAAACATTTGTCCCAAAGACTTTTTTTAGACTTTCATTTATTATAGCTGCTAAATGGATCATTTTTATTAAAGCTTTGCTTTTTTTTCATTACAAACTAATTATCTTTTACAACTAAATGTTTGCCATACATTTCTTAAAATAACTACTGAGCGACAGCAATGAGAATTCTAAGCCCAGAGTGCAAAGAGGAGGTGGAAGGAGAGAGCCACCCAGCATTTTTCTGACCATCATCTAGGAGGCAAATCAGCTTCTGGGGAAACTGATTAGACCAGGCTCACAACTGCAGGCAACTTAGTGATTGGATGAAAGGGCTCATTTGCATGCTTCTCTCATCTTCAGCAAACTCTCAGGAAGCACCAGTGGATAAGGTCACTGGTGTCAGTCTGCCTGTGTGCCAGCTTAGTATGTAAACAGATCAAACATGGAACAGCCATGAAAGTGAGACTATAGGGTGCCTGTGTTTCTAAACGTCTGGACAATGATAACCTTAAATGTATGACTGAAGTGATCAATATCCCAGTAGTCAAAAGCAGAGAAAATAATAAGAACATCTTCAATATTCATCCAGCTTGAATGGGGATATTATATAAACCATATTTTACTCATGCAATGAACATTTTCACAGCATCTTCTGAACATTAGTCTCTGAAAATAAAGACTTAATTCTAAGTATTTATTTACCATGAGGACAGCACAGCTTCTGAGTGCTTGAAATTGGGTATTTAGTAAACATAAACCTTTGTATTGCTCATTTTTATAAAGCATTAGTCAGCTTGTTAAAATTTTTAATATTGAATGTTTCTGATACCCCCTTTTTATTTATTAATTTATTTTTTTTTGCTGTTAACCAACTATTTACAAGAGAAACTTATTGCATTTCACTGAACAGCAAAAATTTGAAGCCAAAGAACAGACCTCCAATGGTGCCAGAAACCCTTTGAGGCTTAACTTAGACCCAGATCTTTCTTATTAGATCATCCAACCATGTAATTATTCATCTACATTAAAGCCAAAGAATAGGTAAGCTGATGGCAGTGTTATACATGATAGTGTTTTGACACTTGTGAAAAAGTGCTAAATTTAAAAAGATGAAAGTTACAAAAAGGTAGCAAAAGCATCACCCCAGTTATTATACTTCCTCCTGTGTGGCCATGACCGTCAAAATAAATGTTATGTTGGTTATTTAAACTCTACATTTCAACTTTACAAAGTTTAGCTTAGAGAAGCTACAGTATAGAACATAAAGCATGAAAAGAATAAATAAAAAAAATGATTTGCATGTTAGATTGTTGATAGATTTGTTGATCTTGAAACATTTCACCCCTGTTAGTAAATTCATTTTTGTGCAGCTGGCACTAAAGCAAAAATAAATTGGATCCAAAAATCCTCTTTTGGAACCAATTTATTTCATTTGCTGCATTTAAAATTTTATTATAGTACTTCCCAGAGATAATAGTAAGTTTAATGAAGAGTCTCAGTACCACAGACCTTTTTTTCATGTGGAACACATTTTTCCACTCTATGAAATGACAACGGTGCTCACACGGAACTGTTCAAATTAAAGTCTTTTAAAACTCTTTGTGATAAGATTTTACAAAAAAACATAAAAAGCTGACACACGTTTTAATTTTAAAGCTACTTTGTGAAAGAAGAAGGGTAAAACTGTGCTTTCCAACATTTTAAAATAGTTTTTTTAAATAGCTTTGATATATAAATGTAGAGTTAAAACTATATTGGAGTTCTTCAGATTTCTTCAAATCGTCATTTAAAATGAAACATTAAACCAAAAAAGGGTGAGCGTTTCACCGTTTTAACCTTTTTGACGTCTACCAAATGCTTTACAATATATTTTTCTTCATTAAACCAATCATTTGTATTATCATGCAAAGCCGTTTCTGAGCAAACACACACACAGATGAACTACTTCTTAACCACTCAAACTATAATGGACAAAATGAGGTTCAGTTTGTTGACCAAAGATTCTGCTTTGTGTAAAGGCCAATGTCTGAATCACTATACAGTTATGACTAACCCATAAAAAAGGTTCACCAGTCTCTACAGTAATGCAGGAAATAAATGAGTGAAAGTCTTAGAGTGCATTCTTCCAATATATTACTGGCTGATGGAATGTTATATCATCATCTTTGTGTATCAATCTTGTCTGATGCAATATGGAAGAAACTTTGCCACACACCACCAGTGATTTGAATGATATGTAATTTTGGCTCTTGTACTGAGAACCAATGTAAAATATTAGTATGTATAATTTACTCCCATTAGTTTTATTGACAAATTCCTAAATGCACACATTGTAAAAAACAAAACAAAAAAAATTAAATAAAAGGAGAAACAAGGGGACCTTCAGCAGCCTTATGTTACCAGGTTGGAATATGTTCGAACTCACTGAGTGTGGGTTTTACTCATCGTGCAGCCTGCGTCATGTTAATGTTGCACATTCAGGCTGATAAAGGTCTAACAGTTTTGTTTTGGAACAAGGCTCTGCAGAATATCACACATGACTGCACAAGACTAACTCCTTTCTCATCCAAGGGTGGCTTTAAATGTCTCAATGCCATCTGGAGCAGCCCGAATAAAAATTCCGCTTTTAAAGATGCTCATTCTAATTGGTAAATGTTTACTTGCAGGAACTCTCGGCGGGCGGGCACACAACGTTTAATGATTCACTAAAGCCTTTGGGCTTTTTAAGCTTACTTTTAGTGTGTTTCTAAACAAATACAGCTTAGGGTTGAACTGTGGATGTCAGCTCGTAAGAACCAAAACGTGACACTCCACAGTGCAGTTGAGCAATTACCCTTATGGCTATTGTGTGTGTGTGTGTGAGTGTGTCTGTGTGTGTCTGTGTGCACAGGTATGTGTGACGGTCGGGTAGATTTGTGGATATGGAAGTTATTTCTGTTACTACAGTAAAATCCACAACAAATATAGTATACTTATTATTAATATCAATTTGTTCAAATAAAACAAAACTGTATAAATGTAATTTATTTTTGAACAGGGGTGATTAGGATCTGACCTTTAGGGGTGCGTAACCCCCAGCAAAGCTAAGACTGAAGATTTTTTTTGTGCAATTTTCTAAATTTCACTTCTTATTTACATACATTCACACACAGCATTAATCATCACCATCAACATTCTCTCTATAATAAATCTGTAATCCTGCAGCCAGGAGGAATAACAGAACCTGTATCATTACCTCACTTCATAGCTACAATCCTGTGTAAAACTGAAAACTGCAGATTTTCATGTTAACTATCAATATCTGAAAATAATCTTATGAAGAAAACTTTCATTTTAGGGAGAGGAAGAAAATGTAGATGTCAAACGTACATGTGGAAACACCTTGGCTAGTGTTGTTCACACAAATTTACATCTTTCTGTGTTCACAGTTTTATTCTAGAACTAAAGTACCTGATACAGACAGGCTGTGCGTGCTCCCGCAGCGGCTAAACAGCTGTTAGCACAATGCTAGCATACCCACACACACGTTGACTGTTCTGGCTCTTTCTTTCCCCAAACATGCAAAATGCTCCACCTTGTTTCCCAGGTTCCTTGTTTTCCAGCCACTTTATCTGGAGTTTACATTTATCCATTTTTGTCTTTGCTCTCAAAGTTTTGTTTTAACCAATGCGTACGATGCGCCTGGCAATTATAAATGACCGGCCAGAAACATTTAAAGTGGTACCAGATCAAAGTGCAATGGTTTAGAAGTGATTCTGAGGATTTTCTGAATCGATAAAAAAAGCATAAAAAATTGCAGTGCATTGCTGAATCGATTGTTTTACCCACCCTTATGTTCCGTCATTCAGCAAAAGCGCTTACCGACCAAATCTATGTCTGTGATGTGTTCACGTGCAGCGAAAACTCAGATTTCTGAGTGTTAACCACACCAAGTACTCGTTACTGGCACTGGTGTGCACTCTACGAGTTCTTCTAGTTCCAACTTTGTTCATTTTTTTGGTGAATCTAAGGTATGAGAGCAAACGTTTCCTACAAAATTGGAATGCAAATTTCTTTATTTTCAGGGGTGCTGAGCTCAAGTTTTAGGGGTGCTTGAACACCCATAAAAAAGGGTTAAACTCACCACTGTTTTTGAACACCCTGTAAGAAACATTAAGGCAAGAATTTCCCTACAATTTGCTTTTCTGTTTTACACACAAACACACACACACATACAGATAAATGTTCATAAATGTTATTGCTCTCCCCTCAGCTTTGGAAATAATGAAGCAGGCAAAAAAAAGAAAGAAAGAAAAGAAAAGAAAAGAAAAAAATATCTGCAATAAGAAAAAATCTAAACACTAAATTTCTGATTAAAATGTAAGTTCCTACTCAGGTTCCATAGTTTGTACACAAAGGTTTTCGTTGAAAAAAAAATACAACATTTCACTTTAGCAATGACTCAGATATTACAATATTTTCACTTTGGTTACGAGCTGTTGTGTGTATGTTGTGTACATGCACAGCATCAGGAAGTATTTGGTCTCATACATATTTTTATACCTCTGCCTTTTACTGCTTGTATCTAAATGAGTCCTCAGTGTCCTCTAATGTGCATCTGCCAGTCTTTGCTCGTGCCAGTTTATCTAAATTCATCTCAAACTATTGCATTTACTAATGTCTGAATGCATGCTCCAGCTGCAGTTGGTACTTGTTTCTTGAAGCTCGCTGGGTTTGTGTGTACATTAATCTCTGCCGCAGCGGCACCACGTTGCCTTGTATGCTCCACCTCCCTATCCCTGACCCAGTATGCTGTGTGATGCCGCCTACAGCCTCATTTGTCTCCATCAGGGGACAAGCGAGGTTACGACTCACCAAGGCGCAGTACGTCTCGGGCGGATCTCCACACGTGATATTTGGGGGGTCGAGGGCCACTCGCAGGTACTTTGTCATGTCGGTGGCTTCAGGCTGACAAGCCATGTAGTCCCATGCCAAGCCCTCCTCTGTATAGATCTGCGACTTGCACACGTCATAGTGTCCCCAGGCCGCCGGGTAATGTTGCATAGCCTGTGCCACGCTGGTGCACACAGCCTGCAGGGTGAATAATATAGGCCAAAACATTGCTGATCTTTTCTTTATAGTTTTTTGTACAATTTCTCTTCCCCCTCTTTTTTCTTCTTCTTTTTAAGCTGCTTCCTCACAGAAACAGCTGCGTCTCAGAGAACGTTCTAAATTTTTTGCAGCTTTGAGCGATAAAATAGAACATTTGGAAGCAGCATCTTGCTTTTGCGTGCGAGCGGGCTCAGGCAACCATTGGCCTCCATTCAGTTGTTTCGTGTTTGATTGCCAACTTGTCTGGCCGGGCGGTGAGACGCGTCAACAAGTGCGCCTCAGTGGCGTTGATCGTTAATGAAAAAGGTCAACCGACGGTCAGGTCTGATGTGTAAAGAAGAATGACACTTCTCATATGTCAGCAGATGTCTGATCTTGATCTTGTGTCAGTCGTGCTGCTTGCCCACAGCAGCATCCTGTAAGACAAAAAAACAAAGAGAGAAAAAGACAGCTTGGTTAAACACACAGATCACATACAGTCATAAAAAGAAAAAAAATCTTTGAAATGCAGTGATGAAATATTAACAAGTCAAAAAATGCCTACAAGCCCCTATGCAGAAGAGTAATGCATGCTACCATTTGCACACACCCAAACACAAAGCACGGCTTCTCAGTTTCATTGTAACTCTCAATAATAGCCCTGCCAACATCACTGTATACAATTCAAATGGAGCTCACTCTGTAAAGCATAATCTCCATTCGATTTTCATACAAAAAGGCTGATTTCCATGTGTCAAGTCACTGCATTTAGGTTATTGCTTTTTCAGACTTCTCTGACTCCATGATGCGGAGTTGCAGTTGTCTAAACATCCTCAGAGGCATTCAGGATGCATTAAAGTAAAATTGGGAGACAGAAATGGTTTATTTGAGGGATTGTATGTTTCTCAGAGCTTTCACAAGCCATCAGTCAGATGGCACACCTCATCAGGTAATAGTGTCTTGCAGTAGTCAGCAGAGACCTATGTAATCTCTGGATAAAAAAAAAAATAAGGAAAAAATAAAAAAAATGTGTTGGGAGTGGGCTCAGATGGCGCAAGGTTTTGTTGAACTAAAAAAAGAAAAGAAAAGAAAGTTTTGACAAATAACTTGGGAAAATTCAATGTTAGTTTTAACTTCACCAGTTTTACTTTATCCAAAGGTTACCACGCCTCCCTGTCTCAATGTTGTTTGGAAACATGGAAAGTGAATCTGTGAAGGGTTGTTTACGTTTAAACAATGCAACACTTAAAGGTTTACGTCCATTTTCTTTCCTCGCTGTTTTGTTTCTAGGATGTGAAGCTGGTGCCAACAATACGTCACTATGCAAGAGGCAGGATAAACCCTTAAAGAGGAGACATTATGTATTTTCCAGGCACATGGATTAATTCTGTACCACCATAAAGTAACAATGTTACCTTCAGTTGTTATGAAAATGCGGTAAAAATCAAAAACAAACTTGAATTTCTACCATAATCTAAACCCCTTTAAATTGGCCTCTGTCTCTTTAAGAACTATTTCTGACACTCCCACTTCAGCATATCTTCACAACAATGCTTTGGGGGAGGGGTGCTCTGTGGGGCGGGAGCTCAGCTGCAGACTGAGCTCCAGGGAGGAGCTTTGTACAAATAGGCTGAGCTTTGTACCAGGAAGTGTTTAGGCAGCTCCGCTTGGCTGCAACAGGAGATTCAAGGATTTCTAAAACATGCATGAATGAGTCAAAGCAACACGCTGGATAGGTTTATGACTGAGGAAGGACATTACAACATGATATAAAACTCAAAAAAGTGGACGTTGCAAAATACTCCCCGCCCCCCTTAAACATATTATGAACACAAATAGGTTGCTTAAGATTTTTTTTAATTCACTGGCAGAGAAAGCAGTGGGAAATATGTATTCCTTTTATTCCTAACAGAAATACCCTTCAGTCTACCAACATATGTAAGGATAAGTATTTCAGTACTCTAATTCAGTTATCCTGTATAAAACTAAATTTATACTATAATCAATGGTTCTCGACCACATCCCTGGCAATTACCGCCTTCCTTAATTCACCCAGTTAAGCACCTTTTATGCAATGACTAGAGTCATTAAATACACTAACTGTAATAAAGGATGTTCATTTGAGCTGGTGGACATTATCTGCATCCTGACCCAGACTCAGCAGACTCTTCAGAGTGAGTGATGTCAGGATACTGACGGCAGACTCCATCCAACAGACCTCTGGTGGGAGGGAAAAATAAAATAAAAAATAATAAAAAAATTTAAAAACTAGCGCAAATAAAGGCAAGAAGGGAAAACGTCTTGTGGCTTTTTTTTTTAAATACGCTCATGTCAATCAAAGAGGCTTTCAACTACAGGCCAATTACAAATTTGATAACGCAGCTAGCACTCCGAGTGATGAATAAGCAATTTCTTTCATGAGGACGTGTGTATCAAATTACATAAATATAAATGTCAGTCTCTGATAAGAGATGCACCGCGGGATAGATCAGTCTCATTTGAAATGCTCATGCACGGACACAGCGTCCCATCACACTCCACAATGCTAAAGTTGACTTTCATAATATTACCAGTCAAATTAGGGACCAGGGCTGGGTAATGGAGGTCACTTATCTTCTTTTTATTTAACAGGGAACATTCACACCCAATAAGAGACGGCAACCGGGTTCATCCTGAAAATTCTGGATTTAATTTATCAACACTTGAAGTAATAAATCAGCTGATGCAGAAGGGATATATGGATATAAATCAAATGACTAAAGATCATTTAAATAGGGAATGTTTTATATTTATATTTGGCCGTAGAAAAGTTTAGCAGGTTTTTATCAGGTAGAATATAAAACGAGTGGCTTTTATTTTAAGAGTGGCTCTGAACTTTAAGCATTCGCGCTGAGGTTAGATTGACAAATTTCATGAGCCCTGGCTCCTGTTCTCCCTGTCCTCACACCTGTGCCTCCACGCGCAGCGGTGAGCCGATCAACATGCAAAGAGAAGCCTGGGAATGTCATGATTTCAGGGGGGAAATATGAGGTCAGATTCTATATTAAAAGTCATAAATATTTAAGCAACTTTCCATATGCCAGCAGACGAAAAGCTGAGGGTGAGCATCACATCTCACCTCACCTCACCTCATCCCCCCCATCTCTGTCTCTCTTCCTTCATTTGTTCTTGAACCCCCTGAAACACCCCCTTGTGTCCACTTACATTCCCATCCCCTGGGCAGCTCAAGCATAGCAGAGTGTTTTTAAAAGTCAGCAGGCAGCCTCGATGGCTCGTAATGGTTACAAAGTCCCCAGCTACGCTCTTAAAAAATCACGCTGGATGTGATTTGTTCATTTTATCGTAACTTTGATTAAGTGAGACTTTGCTTCCCGGCTCTCAGCGTGACTTTTTTTTTCTTTTTTGATCTCCTTGTGGCTCCCATGGAAGGGTCAGTGGGTGAGCGGAGAGAGAAATGTTCATGGTGGTGAAATTCAAGACATATGTTGACTGCAGCTGATTACAACATTGCACGGTTAAAACAAATGAAATTAACAAGCAGACAAACTCTGCACACAACCTAAGGCTCGCTCTGTGATCTATCTCACAATGGCTGTTGTTTTTTTCGTTCTGCTCCCTGCATCTGTTTGGGATTTTGGATGTGAATGCTCACACTAACCTCCCTTCATTGTGTCTATTGATTTCACCGACTTCCAAGAAATAACTTCTGATCCGCTGCCAGTTTGCACAGACTGATGCTTTGTTTCTGGCTGATGAGCGCAACAATAAACGGGCTAATTCCTCCCAACGCTTTGCCGAGCCAAGAACAGACCCCTCCGTCTGAGTCACGGTGGGATCAACTGGCGAGCGGAAGCAAATGTGTTTTTCCTCCAATTTTACTTCCCCACAACTAAAACCATCCATTCCATTTTTCAACCGTTCGTCTACCATTTAATGGTTTTTATTTCCGTTGCTCCACTAGAAGCGCACGCACATAAAAACACTATTACTGCTCCACCTTTAACTTTCACCAACACCAGCCACATTAGCTCACTTGTTATTTACAGCAGGTGGTCCACCCCCATGCTTTTCTGCAGAGAACTATTTCTCTAAAAGGATGAGAGTGGTGTGGTGACATGATGGCCTCAGCCACAGACACTACAACAATGTCATACATAAGATCTGCTGCCATGCATTATTAAAGTTCTTCACATGCAAAATAATGCACATTGTGCTACAATTGTTTAAAAATCTTGGTTTTAGCAGATATAAAAAACTATACAAAAAACTACACATTTGTATTGTATACATATATACATACATTCATACATACACACACACACACACACACAC